GCCCGCTCAGAGATGTGTATAAGAGACAGAAATAATACAATATGCCTTTATATATGAAATAATAGAACACACAACATATTGAATTGTATCAAAGAGCAAGGAAAAGTATATTTAAAACAAATTAATTATAGTTAAAATAGAAATTCAACATTCATCATTTTGCGACGTCTCTGGTAATATAAAAATTCTCGAGTCTCCAGAAATTTTCTATCCAAGCCAGTAAATTTTATAATAATAAATATATTTAAAAAATTCTATGATAGGTAAGATATTGCTGTAATAATTGATCCACCAGAGTCGTGCAGCGACAAAATCAAATAACCCGCAACATGACTTGCAGTCGACGGAAATGAATAGATTATGTATAATATGTATCTCCCAATGCGAAATCTATTCTTATGATAAGTATATTATTAATTGGTACTTACCTATCGTACGTTGTACACGGTTCACGATCGTCCTTCCTCGGATCTCGCTTGTCCTTCGATGAACCGCGATCTCCGTCGCCTCCGTCTCGATGACCTCGGATTTTGTGCTCTGACTGACGGATGTAGGCTCGATGAGAATTCGGTGCGTCTCGATTGGACTTTGGCCGAACGCGCGCACTTACTATATGCATGCCATGCTGCCGAACGCGCACTTATTATTAATTATACACTGCGTATTGTTGCTGAACGCACACTCACTATATGTGCACTGTCGAATACGCATTCATTGTGCGTGCTGCCGAACGCGCACTTACTACATATGCGTACTGCTCGACTACTTGATCGATAGAGTTCAGTAATTTCGAATTAAAGCTCGCGGCGCCGAGCGCGCGCCACGTAGTACCATCCACGCGTCGTGCCAATTCCCTACTACTGAGCGCCCCGCGCCCCGGCAGCGCGCCGCGGCCGTCGAGCCGCCGAGCCCGGTCTCCCCACTCTCCCCACTCGCCTCGCCGCGGGAAATAATGTCGCGTCATTAATTCTCTTGTATTGAATTTTGAACTGAATAATCACGCCGAGATTAAGCATATCGTATATCGTACTGCGTGCTCTTCGAAAATAACATTTTCAACGTTATAATTTTATCGGCAAGAAAATGGGGATGTAGAACTACGTAGTACCCATTTCAAAAATATATGTACTGGCGCTAGTGTACAGGAGTCTGCAACAGTCTCATGTAAAGGACCGGAACGGCCGCCTCCTAACTCCCACACGCTTTTGTCTGGTGGTATTCCTGTTGAGTGTGTCCGTGTTTGGTGATATCGGCGAACTCGGCACGGTCGGAGCGTCCGCGCGTAATACATCCCGAGAAACCAAGTCACATCTCTCGTTGGAAACGGGATTCCGTATCGCACGATGTCACAGGAGGCCTCCGTGAAGTCGTCGCCGCAGTCGCAGGTGATCAGCTTGGCTACTCTGCCGAATTTAAACCTCCAGCAGCTGACGATGTTCAAGCAGCAATTGGACCAAGAACTCGGCGTTTTTCAAGACTCCTTGCACACGTTGAAGATTGCGCAGAGCAGATTTCAGGAGTCGGGCTCTTGCCTCGAGAAAATAACGCCAGACACCGAGGGTGAGTCACAGCAAATATCGCTTTCCAAAGCTTTACCGTAGCTTTATAACCTCTCGACCATGTTTCGTTGAGGTTAAGAAACCTCTCGACCAAGTTTCGTTGAGGTTAAGAAACCTCTCGACGAAGTTTCGTTGAGGTTAGGAAACGCGATACCACTGACTGTATAAATATAAGTTTAAATCTCTGAGAGACGAAGTGACACGATTAGAGACAATTCTTTGTCGCTACAAGTCCATTTCTACCATTTCCTTTAGCTATTTTTAATTGCTTGCAAATATAATTTTTTTTCTAATTGTAAATCTTATATAAGTTTTCAGTCATTTATATTGAAAAAATAAACCCTTGTACGTAGCAATAATAATCTAAATATAATAAATCGTTCTATATATATGTGGTTTGTGTTACAGACAGCGAAATATTAGTGCCGCTGACAGGTTCTATGTACGTGACTGGGAAACTAGCAGATGCAAATAATGTGATTGTCGATATTGGTACTGGTTATTATGCGGAAAAGAGTATTGGCGATGCAAAGGACTACTTCAAAAGGAAAGTGGAATATGTTACCGAGCAAATGGAAAAAATTCAGCAAGTTGGAATCGAAAGGACCAAACTGAGAGAGGCGACGATGGATATAATAGAAGCGAGAATTCAGCCTTCAGCCTGGGATGCGGCTGCACGTGGAAAGCGATAAATTTCTAGTTAAAAATTTTATTTTATATTTTTCTTCATGAATAATTCGTTATTGTTTGCATCTATTTGGAAATCTCAATTGGATCCAATGGCTTTGAGGTACTGCATGCAACTGGTTCTATATAATAGCATTAATATGGTTTTATTAAGTACAGTTAATATGTTTTTGTGATATCACCCTGTCGCATTTCATTTATTCAACTTCGTCTATTCAATAAATCAATACACAATGGATTTTTGTACAGAAATACATGTTTATATATATATACTTGTTAGTAAATTAAAACATATTCCTCACTAAGAATTTTTCTTATAACTAACAATTACTTTTACATAAGAATCGAAATAGTAATTTATTAATAAACTATTTGTTAATTTGCTAAATACCTATGTTGAAGATAAGGCGGGCAGTAAAGGAGATTTTGGCCGATACTAAAGATTAAAATAACGAAGGTGAATCGTTTATTCATATTTCATTGAAATAAAATGTCATTTATAAACAATAACAGTAGTTTACCTATAACCATGACAGGACACATTGCGACGATCACAATGTTACAGAGGAGGTATCAAAATCATTGTCAGAGGATAGAAAAGATGGTACAATATTCAAATAAGTCGTCGATAGTTTGGCGCGCGACACCTTGTCGATCTATTACATAATAATACGACATGTTATTTATCGGATTACAAGTCTACCCGCGGGGCGGACGTAGATTGCGTACACGTAGATAATTCACTAAATCTTTTTCTTTATCCTATTTACACGAATAACATACGCTTGGTATTTATTTCAACAGAAAAGATTTCCTCTTCTCCCAGGTTTTATCCCATTTAATAATTTCAAAATTTTACAAACAATTTCCTCCCCTCGTCCCGATACAATCATGCGCGTAATATGTATTGCGAACTCATTGATGTTATCTCAGGTTGCCTAGCAACAGTGCGGTCATGGCAGTGATGTAGAAGTATTCTGCGGTACTCTTGGCTGCGCTACCTACAATAGAAACCATGATGTATAAATAAATCAGAAGACTATGCCTTATGTAGATCTTATTTAAAAGGGTGTAAATTTATCGTTATCACAGCGTCACGACACAATTAGTTTGAATTTAATTTTTTAATTAGTTACGGACTGAGGAGTATTAAACTTTTTTCCACAAACTTTCTTTTTCAACTTATTTACTTTTAATAAAAGATAGTAAAAATGAAAGAGGCGTAAGTCGTACCAACGTAGGAGGATTCCCGTGTACCTAATACGGAGGCCAATCTCGGACGTTCTTCTTTCAGCGATACTTCAGCCTTTTCTTTGTATAAATGAAAGACATTGGCGTGACAAACGATCTTTAGTCTGCCATTGCTGAAGCTATCCTGCATCGTCTCGAAGTCCAATCCAGCAACCGTGTGCTGTTGATTGTCGTGAAATTTCTTAGTGATATTCTTGACGAAACTTGAGTTCACCTGCAACGAAAAAAATATACTTTATTAGTATTATTGTATATAGTAGTATTGTATGTGGTATATATAAAATATACTATACTTCGGATGTACAAAATCTAGATGGAACTTTTCGCTAAGTGATACGCATTCGAACGTATGATTGTAAAGATAAAACTGTCGATTTTCATGCGCTCGTCAATTATCAACGAAACGTGGTGGTGATACGCGCGGCTTGCCGTCCTCTTCGAACGGAGCAAAAGCGTTAAAAGGGCGCGATGATTTATGAGTCTCTAAAATCAATTAGCTTTATGCGATCGTACGTCGAGGGCTGGTTTCATTTTACGACATAGCCACCGTGCAATTAAGCTGCGTACTTATTGGCAAGTAAATTAACAATTATTCCAGAGGGATTCCCTCGTGTACTTCGAGGAAGTCCCTCCGGTATTCTTGTTACGCCACACTGAATATAACCGTCCGATAATAAGACAGCGCTATTTCAATTTTCGAAACGCTCGTACCGATAGGTCATTATGACAGGTGATCCCATAAAGAATTAATTAACCGGGAAAATATACAGATAGGTAATTAGGCAAGCCGCCTCGGCGTATTAACAGCGGGTATAGAACCTGCGGAAGAACAGGGTGGGGCGTTGACTGGGGTACCAGTTCATCCTTACTGCTTCCTGCCACTCGTTTACGCGGTAACACGCCTCCCTCGGTAGCCGTAAATGATTTGCGGCGCATACGCGGCTATAACTATATGATGTTTATCGGATTCTTAGGATGCTCGTAAAGCGTCCCAGATTACCGGCTCGCTATACCGAAGTGAGAGTTCCGGATTAAATGGACGCTGTTCAGAGTGCGCCGACACCAGAAGAGGATCATGCGAGAGAGGGGTCTTTATAATTTCCTGAATCACCTCTGTATATCAGCGCGCGTATAACGGGAACGATCTCGTGCGTTCGCAGACGACCGCGCGCGTGTGTGTACGTGATTTTACCGATTTTCCCAGTTCGCGATATTGTCTATGTGGCGCCGTCGTGAATTGATATCGCGCTTCCTGTTGTTTCCATGAGATTTCCACGCATCTCGTGCGCGACTCCGGCCGCACTTGCACGCACGAGAACACGCGCTGGCTCGTACGAGACCCTTAAGCTGACAAGCTGCGCTCGTCGCGAAGATCGTCCGCGACGTTACATTTTACGCTTAATGCAGTCGATCACGTATAAGCAATTTTCTTTAATGGAAAGGTGGTATCCTTCCGTTGCTTTCCGGGAGCTATTAAATTTCCACATGCACGTGAGGCAAAAAACAGGGAAAGTGTTTAACTCCTAAGTCGTTGGTACATACTCAAATAGTACATAATTATATTATAATGGTTTTATAATTTATATGTTTCAACATGAAAAGGCGCTATTTATATATATATTTTTATTTTTACAAACGTAGATATATCTACTATATATAGTGAATACGGACATATAGGAAACTATCTTCTAGCAGTAGAAGTTAGTATCGTTTACGTATCCTGAAATAAAAACTTCAAAAATTGAACATTTAAATAGCCATCGTATTTTGAATATAAAATAAATGCAAATTTGTCTTGCGATTATCACATTAATTAAAAATTTACGAACAATGGTAAAGTACTGTAAATAGAAAAGTTTAAAGACATGTGATGGCTATTATGAATGTTTCACGTTAGAACGCGAGTTTGTAAACGCGAAGCTGGAGACAGTAGAATAAACACGTTAGAATCTGACATAAAGAACTTTTCAAATTGACAGTATTGTCATTAATGGCAACAGTAAGCCTAGAAGGAAACAATATCCACAAAGTGAAGTGCTACGTCAAATGAACAATGTAATAGTACATCTTAAAATCACTGTTGCAAACAGGTCCATATGATAGAGTTGATCACATAAAATACGATATTCTTTTTCCCAAAATATCGAAGTATTAAATAACTGGAATGAGTTTAGAATTCTTTTTTTTTGTTTTAGGATTCTCTCTTTTTATGTTTGACAAATATTCTACTTGTAAATAAATTAAAGATTTGATTATTTATAGTAATAATTCAATTCGAGTCAGCGAGAACGCGATCGTGGGAGATTCATCGATGCTTTCCACATTTATCAACCTACCGGTCTGCCGTTGACAGTCCACGTCACGTTAGCTGGAGGATTTCCCGACGGTACCGAGCAGTTTCCACGTACAGTATCACCCACCGCGTATTGCATCTTCTCGACCCACAGCTGCGGTTTGTCGATCGGCAGACCTGAAATTCAAGATATCTTATGGCAACAACTGAACGCGATTGTGCGGTGCCAGAATACGGTTTTTGTTGCAGGTAACGGACCCGTTCGACTATTGTTACGTACTATACGTCCGATTCCTTCGGCTGCTACCGATTATAAAAACAGCCTTGACATCGCGAAAGCGCCACGATAGTTCGATCGGGATTTCATTGTTCGCGGTGTCAAAGAACACGCCGCGCAGAATTCGCGAATGACACTTTTTGCGTTATTTAATGACCTCGACAGTCGACTCGAGCGTAACGAATTTATCTTCGAGGAATAGTGTAACAGTCCGATATATATAATTTTTATATTTATGAAATAACTACATCTTTCGTACGCAGCTTTTTATGACAATGCCTATCTCCTATTGCGCGAATAAATATAAAATTGATATAAAATATTTTCCGTACTTCGTTAATTGTTTTGCAGTTATATGAATCGTCGTCCTGACACACGAGGACATGGGCTGGGACGCGACAAAAATGTAACTTCTATCCCTGAACAATGGGGGAGGGGGGAAGAGAGGAGGATTTCCGTCTATACGCGGATATCGCTGCGGCGCGTTGCGCATCTCGGGAAATTGAATTGAAAGAGCGATGCGCGTCCGCCGTAAATTAGAAGTGGTGCAGTTTCCGTACAAAGCGCGCCGAGAGGCGCGCGATATACGCCTTCATAAATATAAAACGCGTTTGCGTCGCGCATAGCTTTATTCAAAATCGGCCCTTTTCGAGCCCTTCGATCGCGATAAGTCAGCGCGCGGACGTTTCCGCGAACATCATCGTCATTAAAAGCGAAAAGTTCGAGCCTCGCTCGCGACACATATATATATACATACGCATAACGTATCGTGTACATCTCGCGGGATCATTATAACGTCCACAGAAGGCAGTGGATCCCCCCCTCGCGGCAGGTAGCCGTTCGTGGCAATCCGGTGAACTGTCAAGGAATTGTCTCACTTTCCCGCAACGACTTCCGCCTTTGGGGCCGTTCCTTCCTCGCGCGATCCTCACCGCGAGTACTCTCAAGGACACGGCCGAGGAATATTACCATTTTCAACTCGTATATGTCGCGTGGAACGGGATGATCGCCGGCCTCGTGAGAACTAGGAAAGAGGAAACGAGAAAACGATGGTACGCCCAGCCGAGAGCGGCAATTGGAGCACACGGAGACCGCGGGAGATGCAAGACGAGTTTCAAAACTCCCCCCTTCACCCCTCCGCCGATCTAGTATCGAGCTTTTACGAGCGATCCGTGATCGGAAAGAGGAGGCAATCACCTCGGCCCTTCGAAGGAGGATCGCTACCGTGCTTGTGCGCGCCGTCGTTAGGTCGACGCACGACGGTAAGGAACGGTGGGAACGGGACGCGCGAACGCTCCTCTCCGATCTTTGCGTCTTCTTCCTTTTCACAGGCTACCGCCGTCGCCCGTCTCTTCTCCGCCCATCGGTTCCCCTCTTCGCTCTCTTTCTTCTCGCCTAACTGCGTTTTAATTGGGCGCGATTACGGTGACAATACTAGTCGCCGTGTAGGATAATCAACGATAATGAAAGGCGCTCGCGGCGAGAGAGACACGCCGGGAGAAAGAGACCTCGTACCTGATGGTAGCGCACGAGGAACAAAGTCGTGGGTAAAAGCGACCGAAAAAAAGAGCTTAACGGGTCACGACCGAATCCGCGATTCATCACGGACCCTCGTACTCTCCCCCCCCCCTCCTCACGCTGTAGCTGTTAACCGCCCTCGAATGGGACGATGAAATGTTTTTATTG